AGGCTGAGGTTGGACATTAGCCAACCCAGCAACTCTGCCCAGTTTCTTCCTTTGCTGTACCTCGCTTCCCTCATCTTCTTGGTTTCTCCTGAGAGCTTCCCTCAATAAATCACTTACCCCAGAATCCTTGTCTCAGACTCTGCTTCTAGGCCCAACTTACGATGTTCACAAAATAAATTACACTGATTGATAACAGATCTCTTTCTCCGAAATGAATGACCAGTAGAAACTTCTGACTAGCACGAGCATCAGCATATCCACGCGGTGCTAAACTAACACCAACCCAAAGCAGATAGTGCTGGGTGGACTCGGTACGGGTTAATTGCTCATGGGTGTCCATCTCCACCACCTTCAGACCCAAGGCTCCAGGGCTGCCAGCCTGAGAACCCTAAGTCATGATCTGGGGCACTTTGGCTGGATTTCCTGGCAACTGGCTGAGACCAGGACTCTAAATAGGGTTGGAAGGAGGAGGGAGCAAAAAAGGCTAGAGTGGGCGTCAGCTGGTTTTGCCTGCCAGTCATCCACCATAATCCGTCCCCATTCTGCTGCACAGAAGTGTTGTGGCTGAGAGGCCTGCTTTTCTCCTCCCCTCTAGTTAATATGACTAAATTCTCCCTATGGAATGGGAATGGAAAGGCCACACCCAGGCCAGTGTCTTCAGGAAGGGGCTGTGACCCTTTCACACCTGTACCAGACACAACCATCATCTCGCCCTGTTTTGCCGGCTTTCAGGTGTATGTGCTGAAGGCTGCTTACAGCTAGCCTCTGGGGATTTTCCTGGCACAGGAAGCATGCTTGGCCAGTGCACAGGGCAAGTTGGAAGGGCTCCAATGTCAGCAGCCTTCAGCCAATGATGGATGGAGAGTCGCGAACAGTGTCCTACGTATCCGCAGTGGGCTAACTCTCAGGAGTATGCTGTACTGCCTGCCGGAGGGCACCAGGGCGATTCAGCACCAGCTACCCACAGCAGGCACTTCCTTGATTCTCTTCCCCACATGGGCACTTTTCTTCCTGTCACACCTCCCCAATTCCCCTGCAGACACTTTCCGGGATCGCTTCCTAAGCAATCCACTTGAACTTTAATCCTTGCCTTCAGAACTGGCTTCTGGAGGAACCGAAAATACATGAAAAAAAGAGAGACCACGGCCTGAAAAAGAGCCCAAAGAGTTAAGCTTCCTGCCAAGTCACCCCCCCGGTGCCTCTGCCCACCAGCCTGCGTGAGCCAGACCCTCAGTGCAGGTTTTTCCAATCAGCCGTCTGTTCTTCCACCCAACACTCAAGATTTGCTTCTTCAAGACAACTCTCCTACCAGCTGAGACCCTTAGAAACCGAGCTTCTACCACGCATAGGAAGACATTGTCTACCCAGCTTCTACCACGCACAGGATGACATCGTCTACCCAGCTTCTATCATGCACAGGATAACATTGTCTATGCAGCTTCTACCATGCATACAATGATGACATTGTCTGTTCAGCTTCTACCAGGCATACAATGACATTGTCTTAGGGCATGGCAGAGCAACACAAGGGAGAACTCTGGGCCCCTGAGTGATGGCATGGAGGAGAACCCCCAACCCAGAACTACTACATGAGAAACAATGCTCTCTAGTCTTTAAGCCATAAGTGTGTTGGGAATCTTTGTTACAGCAGCCATGCCCAATCTTTTTTCTTTTCTTTTTTTTTTTTTTTTTTTTTTTTTTTTTTTGAGATGGAGTCTTGCTCTGTCACCAGGCTGGAGTGCAGTGGCACCATCTTGGCTCACTGCAACCTCTGCCTCCTGGGTTCAAGCGATTCTCTTGCCTCAGCCTCCTGAGTAGCTGGGATTACAGTCACCCACCACCATGCCTGGCTGATTTTTGTATTTTTAGTAGACATGGGGTTTCGCCATGTTGGTCAGGCTGGTTTTGAACTCCTAACCTTAAGTCATCTGTCCACCTTGGCTTCCCAAAGTGCTGAGATTACAGGTGTGAACCACTATGCCCGGCCCAGCCGTGCCTTAACTTAACTAGCATAGCTGCCCAATGTCCATTTCCTCTTCTGGCCATGGTGTCCTGATTTTCTGCTGGGCAACCCCTTTCTCACTGCTCCCAGACCAGGGGTGCAGCTGACCTTCGTTCTTTCCACTCAGTTCAGCGGGGGAGGGGTGTAGGTCTGGTCCAGAGAGCTGCACATCTCCCAGGGCACACCAATTAGTTGAGGGTGGGCCCAAGAGCCAAATCCACCCAAAATGTTAGCCTGAAAGAGAAACCCTCCTACTGGGTAACTGCACTGTGAGGCAGAAGTCCAGAGCTGTGGGTGGCCATCCAGCCTCCATTTGTGCCAGCCTGAGAAAGAAGCCATCATTGGGGAAATTGAGTTAAAAGACAGAGAGAGGTAAGAGAGGATGACATCATGTAAGCACCAGATCTGGCCACCCCTGAAACCGGAATGACCCTAGGCTTTTCCGCTCCTACATTCCCTTTTCTGCTAAAGTTGTTTTACACTGGGTTTCTGTCCCTTGTAACCAAGAGCTCTGCTTAGTAAAAACCTGACCCTAAAGAGAACGTCAACTGGTTCACAATTCCCTGTGCAAAACAGGCACAGGCCAGCGGTCCCAGTCCTGTCATTTGGATATTCCTTTCTAAGAATGCTCACTTTTGTTGTCTACATGACTCAGATCACCAAGAAGAAAGTAAATCAGCCACCTTCCAGCCAGTCTCCTCCGCGGCAGGTGCTAGGAGAGAACACAATGTTAGTACTCTGCTCTCTGGAGTCAGGGTTGAGCCTCGGCGCTGGCTGTCCTTCGAGGCTCTACCTGTGATACTTGAGTGCCAGGTTCAACCCCTGCTGCTGCTGCTGCCTGAAGGGGTCATTTAGATTGCTTTGTGCTACAGCCTCATCCCAGGAACCTGGAGCTTCAGATGAGGCAGGGCAGGGCCCCTTGGCCCCTGAACCTTGCCAGCCCAAGCAGCAGAGAGGTGAGGACCCCCCACCCCCACCTCACCGCCTAGTCAGCCCTGGTCTCATATCTGCCTCTGCATGGTTCCAGTCCAGCCTGAAGCCTTTGCTTTCTTTTTTGAAGAGAGGGTGAGGAGAGAGGGAAATTGAGGCATTTCCCTCAATCAGGATTCCTGGCCTCTGCCTCCGACCTCCAGAAAACAGCCTCTGTAGTTGCCTCATCTACTCATGGAAACAGGTTTGAGACCCCAGGGGGGCTCTGAGGATTCTCCCAGAAAACATCTGCCCAGTGAGGGCTACCTAGCTCACTGCCCCAAAAGGGTTTGTTTCCTTTCCTTCTGAAACAAAAGCACTGAATTGGAAGAGAAATGTTGGCTCAAGCTATAGAATGTGCCACTTAAAATGTCCAGATCTTGGCATAATGCCTGGCACACAATGTGGGAGAGAAGGAGAGAAGGTGGAAGGAAAGGAGGGAGGGGAAAGGAAAGAAGAGGAGAGGAAGCAGAGAGGCGGGAAACAAGACGAGGATTAGCAACGTTTCCCTAGATCAAGGAGTGGCCCAGGTGGTGATCAGGAGTGGGCAAGAAAAGACAATGGGGTGTAGGTGATCGGAGTATAGGTGATGGGGTGTAGGTGATGGAATATAGGTAATCAGGGTGCAGGTGATCAGAGTGTAGGTCAGGCATCCCCAAACTTTTTACACAGGGGGCCAGTTCACTGTCCCTCAGACCGTTGGAGGGCCGCCACATACTGTGCTCCTCTCACTGACCACCAATGAAAGAAGTGCCCCTTCCTGAAGTGCGGCAGGGGGCTGGATAAATGGCCTCAGGGGGCTGCATGCTGCCTGCGGGCTGTAGTCTGGGGATGCCTGGTGTAGGTGATCAGGGTGCAGATGATTGGGGTATAGGTGATGAGGTGTAGGTGATGGGGTGTTGATGATTTGGGTGTAGGTGATCCAGGTATAGGTGATCAGGTTGTAGGTGATCTGGGTGTAGATGATGGGGTGTAGGTGACTGGGTGTAGGTGATCAGGGTGTAAGTGACTGGGGTATAGGTGACGCAGTGTAGGTGATTGGGGTGTAGATGATCTGAACTTCCTACTCAATTCAGGTAGCAGCTCCCAGCCTGTGGCAAATACCTCCTGAGGCAGGCAGGATGAGGAAACCTCCTCCCCTCCCCCCATGGCCAGCTGCCCACATTTTGCCCTATCAGAGTCTTGCCTTCCATGGCTCTGACACAGGCCTCCAAGGTGAGGAGATGGAGGTAGCAGAGGTCACTGCATTCAGCTGTCACGCACCCTGAGGGAACTCCTGACACTGTTATCCCTCCTGCAAGTGAGGAGTCAACATTTCTCAAGCTCCAGGGTCGGCCCCAGAGCCCATTCAAGGGAGGAAGAAGAGGCTTCAGCCGGCGCATCCTAACCACAGAAAGCCAAGACCTCTGCAGACAAAGTGACCAGGCCCATAAAAAGAGACCCTCGAGTTGAGTTCCCTGCCACGCCACCCCAGGCGTCTCTGCCCACCAGCCTGCATGAGCCTACCCCTTAGTGCAGGTTTTTCTAATCAGCCATTTGTTCTTCCACCCAACACTCAAGATTTGATCCCAGCCTGGACAACATAGCAAAACCCCATCTCTACAAAAAAAAAAAAAAAAAAAAAAAAATACAAAATTAGCTGGGCATAGTGGCACACACCTGTAGTCCCAGTCACTTGGGAGGCTGAAGTGGGAGAGGATCACCTGAGCCTGGCAGGTCAAGGTTGCAGTGAGCCATGCTCACACCACTGCACTCCAGCCTGGGCATCAGAGTGAGAACTTGTCTCAAAAACAAAACAAAACAAAAAAGAGAGAGAAAGATCTGCTTCTTCAAACCCACACCGCTAATACAACGTAATCAGCCTCCCCATCTCCTGAAACGAAACATCACACAATAAGCTCTGAACAGAGAGCTGTGGGTCAGTGTTTCACTTGGCCTTTGAAAGCTTCACAAGAACATTTCATTTATTAAAATAATTTCTGTAAACTATTTCAGAATAACAAAATTCATTTTCCTTGCTTAAACAGCATTTCAAGTCGAAGTATTTTTATTTCAAGGCACCATAAAATGATGATTGCTCTAAGAAATACCTCTCCCTCCATGTGTGAAAATCCTTGGGGGAAAAAAAAAAAGAAAAAAGCCCACACGGTGTTCTTGGCTATCAAGATCGTGGAAAACAAACTTTGGTGAATGTGAGCAAGTGCACCAGACAGGACACGGGTTACAGGGCCTGACGGCACTACGGTAACTGACAATCTTGGAACGGATCCGATGGCTGATGTTCCAAAAGGACACAGAGGTGAACTGGACATTTCTAATTAAGAAGAGCCAGTGGGGTGGGGAACGCTGAAAACCAAAAATCCACGTAGACATACATGGCAGTGTGAACATCTGTCCTCCCCTTCCTTCTCACTTCCTCTCCTCCTCCTCACTCAGGCTGGTATTCTCCTGGTGTACGGATGTCAGCTTGCCCTGCAAAAGGGCCGCCAGTTTTTTAGATGTCTTTTTGAGAAACGAGCTGCCCGGGTGGGCACTGTTCACGTGCAGGTACAGTTCCTCCTGGGTGGGGCCCGTGTAGCCGCAATCCTCGCAGACGTAGAGCTTGTCGCGCCGCTGCTTATAGGCATACTGCTGCTGCACCCCGTGGATTTTCTTCAGGTGGGACTCCAGGGAGCAGCGCTGAGTGAAGGCTTTATTGCAGACACTGCATTTGTAGGGACGAATGCCTGCAAGGACAAGGGGCAGACACAGCATCGGTTGGTCACAACCAAGTCAGAACAACCCAACTATGAAACCAGTAAAAGTCATCCTGACCGAGGATTCATGGCAGCATGAGGACAACGGTCAGAGCAGGAGACAAAACCATCTACAAAGGCTCATAGCATCCACCTGAGCAAACCTAACACAAACGGATGCCAACATAGGAAAAAAAAAAAAAAAAAAAAAAAAAGCACTTCCTGCTTTAGGGAGGAAGATGTTTATTCTTTCAACTGGCCCACCTTAATGTTTTCATTATTGTGAGCAAAGTAAATTCAAAAAAAAAAAAAAATTTAATTTGGGCCACGGGTAGTGGCTCACGCCTGTAATCCCAGCACTGTGGGAGGCTGAGGTGGGCAGATCACTTGAGGTCAGGAGTTTGAGACCAGCCTGGCCAACGTGGTGAAACCCCATCTCTACTAAAAATACAAAAAACTAGCCGGACGTGGTGGCATGCACTTGTAGTCCCAGCAACTCGAGAGGCTGAAATGAGAGAATCGCTGGAACCCGGGATGTGGAGGTTGCAGTGAGCCAAGACTGAGCCACTGCACTCCAGCCTCAGCGATAGAATGATTCTCCATCTTAAAAAAAAATTTTTTTTTTTTTTAATTTGGGTTTTCCCAGAAGCAGAACCTGAAACAAACATTCCAGTACAAGTAGTTTATTTGAGAGGTGATCCCAGGAAGAACCTATGCTGGAACAAAGATGTGAGGCAGGGAGGGGTAGGATCCAGTCCAGGGGGAGCTACCCAGCCAGTTACATGGTGGGCAACTCGAGTCCAGTCCTTCTGCGCAATGCAAGGAGACAGTCCGGCACGCACTTGGCGTCATCCTGCCCCTCCAGGAGCTGGGGTGAGTCACTGGCTCCCAGCTGCTCCTGGGTGGCTGTGATTCTCCATTCCCAGCACTTCTGCCTGCCTTGTGCAGACAGACTGGGATCAGCAGGAAACCCCTCAGGCAGAGGTGCAGCGTGGGCAGTCGCCACCTGGACAGGTGTGCCCAGAAATGGCAGATTCCCAGGCCATCAGCAGGACACTGAGGTGTCTGTTGTAGTTACAAAAATCATTTCCAAATAAGCTCTTGTACTGCTGGCGTTAGAACTGGGCTAACATTAGTGGGACCTGCCCTCTAGCTGAGATTTCACAGGTACAACATAGAGCAGCCTCATCAAAGAACTGCCGCTCCTACCTCCATGATTACTCACTAATGTGTGTGGCAGGATCTCAGATAAAGAACGGAAACATAGACTCTCTCTCTGTGTGTGCAATGGAATATTTAGATAAGCTTGGACAGTACAGTATTTTACATGCTTGCCAGCGCCTCGGGATTACCTGGAGAGCTTTTGAAAATCTTAACTCGATGGGCACGGTGGCTCACGCCTGTAATCTCAGCACTTTGGGAGGCCGAGGCGGGTGGATCGAAAGGTTAAGAGTTCAAGACCAGCCTGGTCGGCATGGTAAACCCTGTCTCTATTAAAAATACAAAAACTAGCTGGGCATGGTGGCATGTGCATGTAATCCCACCTACTTGGAAGGCTGAGGCAGGAAAATTCCTTGAACCGGGACCCAGGAAGCGGAGGTTGCAGTGAGCTGAGATTGTGCCACTATACTCCAGCCTGGGCTACAGAACAAGACTCTGTCTCAAAAAAACAAACAAACAAACAAAAAAAACTAAAACTAAAAAAAAAAAAAAGAAAAAGAAAAAAAAGAAAAGAAAAGAAAAAGAAAAAAAGAAAGAAAATCTTAACTCGTTTCTCCTAAAACCAGCTCAGTGGATCTGGGGTAGGAGTCAGGAATCTAAAACAAACGTCACTGGATATCCCAGTGTTTAAATTGGCTTTTAAGAGCCACCAATTAAGATCTTTAAGATTCTGGTTGTGGTCTTGCCTAAGGTCAGGTAAGGTAACAGAGCAGAAACCTCAGAGCACACCCAGCTCAGTGCCCTACACCGGCAAAGGTCGCCCCTTGAGCCAGTGGCTGAACAGGAGGCTCACACTCAAAAAGAAGGTTGGGACTTAAAGATGGAACAACAGACACTGAGGACTACCCGAGGGTGGACAGAGGGAGGGGCCGAGGACTGACAAACTCCCCATTGGGTACTAACTGGGTGATGGGATCTTCCGAACCTCAAATCTCAGCGCCATGCAATGTACCCATAAAAACAAACCTGCACATGCACCCCCTGAATCTAAAAATCAAAGTGGATTTTTTTTTTTTTTTTTGGTAAAGGTTGAGACTGGTGTGTGACAGAAGCAAACACACTAAGCTGAAATCTCACATGACAGATTCTCGGAAATTCCCATAGAGTATATCAGCAAGTTTTATTGGGCTTTAGTTGTGGGCAGAGTCCAATATTAAACCTTGCACAAAAATAAATGAAATTGGCTGGGTGCAGTGGCTCACACCTGTAATCCTAACACGTTGGGAGGCTGAGGCGGGTGGATCACCTGAGGTCAGGAGCGCCAGACAGCCTGGCCAACATGGTGAAACTCCACCTGTACTAAAAATACAAAAATGAGCCAGGCATGATGGCACATGCCTGTAATCCCAGCTATTGGGGAAGGCTGAGGCAGGAGGATCGCTTGAACCCAGGAGGCAGAGGTTGCAGTGAGCCGAGATTGTGCCACTGCACTCCAGCCTGGGCGACAGAGCAAGACTCTGCTTCAAAATAGGCCGGGTGCAGTGGCTGAAGCCTGTAATCCCAGCACTTTGGGAGGCTGAGGCGGGTGGATCACGAGGTCAAGAGATCAAGACCATCCTGGTCAACATGGTGAAACCCCGTCTCCACTAAAAATACAAAAAAATTAGCTGGGCATGGTGGCACGTGCCTGTAATCCCAGCTACTCAGGAGGCTGAGGCAGGAGAATTGCCTGAACCCAGGGGGCGGAGGTTGCGGTGAGCCGAGATCGCGCCATTGCACTCTAGCCTGGGTAACAAGAGTGAAACTCCGTCTCAAAAAAACAAAACAAAACAAAAACAAAAAAATAAATAAATAAATAAATGAAATTAAGAAATCACCATAGTAAGGTCTAACTTAGGCTCTCAAAGAGAGGATTATGGCTGTGAAGGGGACACACGTCACATAAGTGTGGAAGCTAAGAGAGGGAGAAGATGGTGCTGGGGTGCATGGAGCATGAAGGGGCCACAGCCAGAGCCACGAGACCTTCCTAGAGCCTAGAGACAGAAAGGATGCCACCTGGAGAAACCCGCAGACCCTGTACACATTCCTGGGCCTGCCTCAGAGACCCCAGGTAATAGGTCAGGGGCTGGGATTAGGAAGCTGCAATTTCATTTATAATATTTCATTTTATTTTTTCGAGACTGATCTCGCTCTATCGCCCAGGCCGAAGTACAGTGGCACAGTCTCAACTCACTGCAGCCCCCACCTCCCAGGTTCAAGCAATTCTCCTCCCTCAGCCTCCTGAGTAGTTGGGATTATAGGCGCCTGCCACCACGGCCAGCTAATTTTTGTATTTTTAGTAGAGACAGGGTTTCACCATGTTGGCCAGGCTGGTCTCAAACTCCCAACCTCAGGTGATCTGCCCACTTTGGCCTCTCAAAGTGCTGGGATTACAGGCATGAACCATTGCACCTGGCCCTAATAGTTACCTTTTATTAAAATATAAAAAATAGGCTGGGTGCGGCAGTTCATGCCTGCAATCCCAGCACTTTGGGAGGCCAAGGCAGGCAGATCACCTGAGGTTGGGAGTTCGAGATCAGCCTGGCCAACGCAGTGAAACCTTGTCTCTACTAAAAACGCACAAATTAGCCTGGTGTGATGGCCCATGTCTGTAACCTCAGCTACTTGGGAGAGAGAACGAAAAGCACCTGAACCCGGCAGGCAGAGGTTGCAGTGAGCCAAGATCGTGCCACTGCACTCCAGCCTGGGCAATAGAGCAAGACCCTGTCTCAACATAAATAAATAAATAAAATAAATCATAAAAGGTTTCTATTAATAGTTGTTTAAGAGTAATGTACCCTCAGTTTTACGATGAAAATAGCAGTAAATTAAAAAATAAAACAGAAAAGATCCCCGTCACCCCATGTACCTTTCCTTCTCCAGTCGTTAACTCTCAAGTTTCTTGTGATCCTTCATGTTTTCTACAAATTATATATATGTACATATATATTTTATTTTATTTTATTTTTTGAAGAGTCTCGCTCTGTCTCCCAGGCTGGAGTTCAGTGGCGCAATCTCGACTCACTGCAACCTCCACCTCCTGGGTTCCAGCAATTCTCCTGCCTCAGCCTCCCAGGTAGCTGGACTACAGGTGCCTGCCACCACGTCTGGCTAACTTTTGTATTTTTTTTTTTTGAGACGGAGTTTTGCTCTCGTTACCCAGACTGGAGTGCAATGGTGCGATCCCGGCTCACCGCAACCTCCGCCTCCTGGGTTCCGGCAATTCTCCTGCCTCAGCCTCCTGAGTAGCTGGGATTACAGGCACGCACCACCACGCCCAGCTAATTTTTTGTATTTTTAGTAGAGACGGGGTTTCACCATGTTGACCAGGATGGTCTCGATCTCTTGACCTCGTGATCCACCCGTCTCGGCCTCCCAAAGTGCTGGGATTACAGGCTTGAGCCACCGCGCCCGGCCACTTTTGTATTTTTTTTAGTAGAGATGCGGTTTCACCATGTTGGCCAGGCTGATCTTGAACTCCTGACCTCTACCTCGGCCTCCCAAAGTCCTGGGATTACAGGTGCGAATCACCGTACCTGGCCTACATATGTATGTTAAGATTAATAAATATATGTCATCTCTGGGTGTTGCCTGAGCAGAATTTTTTTTTTTAAAGCTTCCCCAGGAGGGTCTAGTGTGTAGCCAACTATGAAAACGAGCGTTCTAAATAAATGTACATTTTCATTGGCATGTGCAAGGGTGTACATTTTTCTGAAACATAAACCTGGGGTTTTGGAGAGGTCTGGAGGGTACACTTGCCATAGCATCCCTGTCTGCGCTACTTCCCATCT